ATTTTTCCTCATTTCTAAAATCTTTGTACAAAATAATTGGCTGTTTCAAAAGTTCTGTGCTTATACCTTTCATGGACTGCCAGTTCTAGAGAAAAAGCGTTCTTTATGAAAGTGTTCGATCGTTCAAAATCTCTTTTTTCTAATTTTTTTCTAGTGAATGCTTTCATTTTCATAGTGCCTATTTCAAAGCTCTGTTCTTGGCAGGGTAACAAAACGAAGGAGGGATGTTTCCTTTTTGCTTTACAACCATAAAATTCACAAGCAGGAGACGGAGTTTTTTGATTTATCTCGGACAGTTGATGGGATACCTCCGGAGCAGAAGTGGCAGGGTCGCGGGCTTTCCCCAGCGGAGGATTGCCACTTCGCGCTCCGGAGCCCTGCCATTTCACGCATTTTTGTGCTCCGGGGCTCTCCCAAAAGTGGCGCACCTCCGGAGCAGAGATTTGCGCGTCGCGGAGAGGGGTCCCATTCGTCCTGTTTGTGACGTCACGGTGAATGAATGGGACCCCTCTCCGCGACGCGCAAAATCTCTGCTCCGGAGGTGCGCCACTTTTGGGAGAGCCCCGGAGCACAAAAATGTGAAATGGCAGGGCTCCGGAGCGCGAAGTGTAGACTCGCGCCATATGCCCGCCGGAGGTATCCCTTCGACTGTCTGAGATGCTACAAAAGGCGTATCGAAAAGAAGCTTCCGAAAAATTTTAAACTTAATTAGCATAAGCATGAGATCGTGGTCCCCTATAAACCACATAGAAATCGTAATCAAATACATTTGCAGAGTAATTACTCTTTTCAGAGTGTTGGGCCTAAAATATTTGATACTAAAGAACAAAAGAAATCTTTCAACTGCCAGCGGCGAAAAAACCAAAAATTAAAATGCATCTTCTTACCCCTTTAAACAACGATTTTGTTATAAAAAAACCCACAAGGGAAGAATCCTTAGACGAAGTGGCCCTTCCAAAAAGGAACTTCTCATAGGTCATTAAATGCTAATTCCAAATTTGTCTCTTTTGTCTGCGGACTCCTCTGAACGAATTCATGATCTTTGGAACCTGAACGCGTAGTTAGAAAGAAAAATCATCTATGGAAGTACTTTATGAGCCCTCTCTATGAAAAGACAATTCCCTGCTTGCTACCCCCGTGCTCGCTATCATACCATCTGCAAGTCATAAAAGCTTCACCTTTAATTTGTTTATGATCGGGTATATATTTTGACGCATAAAAGCTCTTAACTCCTCACCGATGCTACGTAGAAAGGAAGACAGATTTGAAATCAAAGTCCAAGGCTCTTTACAGGCACTGTTCACCCAAATTGCAGGTGACGAGATTTGTTCTTATGCGATAGCGGGGCCCCCTAAATAAGCAAACGCTCAAGTCTCGCCGCAAAAAATAAAGGAGGAAACTGCTCCAGAAGTCCACTATGACTTCGCCCATCAACATCGGCCGTCGGTATATTAAAGTCCGAGATTGGGCTGTAGACAGAAATCAGTCAGGGTACCGCGAAGATGTTGGCATGTTGAAGGGTTGGCTTATGACAAATCTGGAATGATATCCACGAAAGTCCCGCGAAATGGGCTCGCGCGAATAAAATGGACTTAGTCCATGCGGTGCGATAAGATATCGCATCTGCGAATCCATTCACTCCATACAAAACTTTTTCGGCAAACTCTTCTCCAACTTGCCTCAACCTGTTTACTCACTCTTGCAAACTCATTTCCGCCAAGTGGTCGACACCTAACTAGGCTGACCTAACATTACACTATCAGTCAATTTGGTATTTTATTCTTCCCACTTCGTTACTCCTCACAAAATGCCATTTATTATCGATAACTATGCATCTAAATTACTTCCAAAACTAAAAGTCGTGTATATCTGGGCCTTCGCTTTTCAAGTTTTCTATGAATCTGCATTAAATCAAATTCGTATGAAGAGTTTTCTGCATAAAGCAAATCTTGGCTAGACTTGTACTGCAATCTGTGATTCAAAGGTTGTCTCATAAGAAACCTACTCACACTACAACCGAAGAATCTTTAAATCGGAAAAACTTCTAGTCTGCAAAAGATGGCTTTGCAAGTGTTCTATTAGGTTGTCCGGAAATTAATGCCCGTTTTGAATTTCAACCGCAATAATTCATACACTTCTCTCTAAATAGGTTGCAAAGTACAATTGGATAGAGCAAAGCAAGCTATACAAGATGGCTATCTTGCTTTTGCAACAGCTCTCATCCACCTCGAGTTTCGCGCCAAAAACTAAAAAGACTCAGCAGCCAAAATCGTAACTCAGTTCACAAAAATCCTACAAAAATTCTTATTTGCTCACGTAAACACTATGCACATGAAACATCTATATACGCCTTCTCCTTTGTTAGAAATCAAGAAAATGGAAATTCTCGTGCATTTGCCGAAGTCGTGCTGTGCCGTCCCCACATAGGGGGTTGTAGACTACAAACCTGTAGAAGTACAAACGTAAATTCTCAGCTCTCTACAAGCTCTAGTTCTCGAGAAATTTGAATTTTAGCTTGGACCACCTAACTAAAGGAAGCTTTATTCGGTATTTCTCGAGAACTAAAGCTTGTAGAGAGCTGAAAATTTAAGTCTGTACTTCTACAGGCTTGTGGAATACAACTAGATACCTATGTGGGGACGGGACAGCATCACTTTGGCAAATGCACGAATCTCCGTTTTCTTGGTTTCTAACAGGGGAGGAGTACGGCAAGGGCGTATATGGATTTTTTTTATGTGGATAGTGTTTACATGAGCAAGCAAGAATTCTTGCAGGATTTTTGCGAACTGAGTTACGATTTTTTTCAATTTTTCGGGCTGCTGAGTCTTTTTAGTTTTTGGCTCGAAACTCGAGGTGGATAAGAGCTGTTTCAAAAACAAGATAGCCATCTTGTAGAGCTTGCTTTGCTCTATCAAATGTTACTTTGCAACCTATTTAAAAGTGAGAAGTGTATATTACTTATTGCGGTCGAAATTCAAAACGGGCATTAATTTCCGGACAACCTAATACTTTAGCTCTTCTTTGTCTTTCAGCATTAATGTTTATATCTCCAAGTAGTTGAATGTATGGACTAATGAGAAAGAATTAAGTAGTAAAGAGTAAGAAATTTTTCACAGACTTTTTCTTGCTAGCTAGCGGCACTTCATCAATTTTTTGGTTCTACGAGATTAGTCAAATGATAGCTTCTGAGTGATTATATTGAAACGCAAACCTTTTTTATGTTCAAATACAAATCATGAATATAGTTTAGTTTTAGTTGAAGATTTGAAGACTCAACAAACTTTATTTGATTTACGTAAAAATTTTCGCATCGACGTGATATTTGGAAGCATTTGAGTTTGTTCGCAAATATTTTGGTGAATTTAACCTTCTTCCATGATTTTTATGGCGTTTGTAAAAAACATGTATTTCAGACTTCATGAAAGACATAAAACTTTTTCCACTCTCTCATTACCTCAAAATAGGTTAAGGAACACATTCTCAAAAAACCGCAGTTAAAAATGTGCAAAAAGGTCAAAAATGGGCTTAGTCCCAGCTCACCTTGGCTGGGAGTAAAATGGGCTTTTAAGTCCATTTAAAATGGAGGTAAATCCCATTTTGCCCCATTCTAAATGGACTTTTCGCATAATTGTTTTGCAAGCGAAAGCTCAGGTAGGGTTGAATCATTTTCATCATACCGCTTTGCCTCGGGGCAGCGATGAAATAAAATTTTTTGGATAACGCTAGCGAAAGCAGAATCCGACCAGTTTCTACCGCGAACGAATAAAATGGGGCTTGAAAGTCCATTTTCTTCCATTATGGACTTTCGTGGATATCATTCCTGGATACACCCAAGTTTGGACCTTTTACCAGACCACCCAAATTGATGGGCGGATTTATCGTGGCATTATGGAGTAGTTTTATCGCTTCGGAATTCATCTTTTGCAGCGAAACTTAAGCGACTGCTTAGATAGGAGCCCCACCATTATATAGCATCAGAATCTCATAATCTTCGATTTGTGTGGGCGGTGCCTTCAAGACTGTATGCATCTTTTCAAGTGGAAAAGCCACTTCGGTTGAGGACCTTCTTTTCTCAGTGGTATTCGGAGTTAGTATTACTGTCATCCGACCTTTGGCTACACAGAACTTTATGCAATTCTGGCACATCCCAAATTCATGGTTCATCAAAGTGATGATCTCCAAAAAAATGTCTGGACATCTTCATTTTGTAGATCTTTCTCGTTGTTGCTACAACATTTTCTAAGAGCATATATTGCTGCCAAGGGATGGATGGTGATGAATTCAAGTTAACTACATCTTGTTATTCCTTAAAAATTCTTGGCCTATGGAGCTATTTCATACAGTCGTACCATTTCTCGCAAGACGTTTGGCTAGCCGGCGGTATTTCATGATCGCTGTCCCATACAATAGTAAAATCATGATAGAAATAATAACATTAAATCCAACATACAAGAGTTTTGACGATCTTATGTACGCGTATGGAGTAATGCAGTATGGAATTAGTTCATCTGAAAGTCTCGGGTTATTATTATTCACAGCGGCAGCACAAACAGCCTAATATTTTCAAAGTATATAATTTATTTTCAAAAACAGCGTGTGGGAGAGCAGGGAATTTTGTTTCAAGCAGACCTGATCACTTAAAAGCACATACTCATGATCAAAAAGAAGGTACAGTGAAAAAAAAAACGGAATGAAAACGCAAGTGTTTTTGGAACAAACCTGTAATGTTCAGATATGCATAAAATACAACCAACGTAGAGTACGTCAGAACTAGCATAACCAATGTTTTATACAACAGTTGGGGAAGTTTAAGGTACCTAAAAATTTGACCTCAATGCTATGCCATACATTCTTTCGCGAGACAATGTATAGGCAATTCGGCGCAGAGGCGGACGCGTTGCTTTCGATCAGCTTGAAGCAACGCGGTTAGAGGAATAAGTTTGCATATAATCTACGCGGACAGCGGCAAGGGCACCCTGTCTCTGCGCGATAAGAATCGCTTACAAGAATAGGATCACATACCTTGTGGGTAAGAAGACCGCAAGAAACCTGTCAATCCCCAAAGCAAGTCCTAAGCCGGATTCAACGTTCAGAGCAAACATCCCATAAATGGTGTGCCAGAAGCAGTGACTATTCTTTTGGGCACCGAGTCCTTGTAGAATCATTATACGCACATGAATCTGGCGCAAACCATAAATCAATCTTTATACTTTTCATTCTTTTGAAAACACTTACTAGGTGAATGCAGACAACAACATCGGCTAGGGCCAAAGCACACATGAGAAGATTACACGGACTTCTTAGCTTGGATGACTTTAGACTGGCAAAGATTATCATTAGATTACCAAATACACCAGCTGCGCAGATACCAATCGTTATGATTGTCATAGGTGCTGGTATGGCATCGTTGACGTCCATCTGGAATTGACAACGTAAGAAGTTTATCTGCATTGTAGTATTATCACGTTTCAAATTGCGAGAAACATAGAAACATTGAAACAAAAGCGCAAGAGCATTGCAATCTCCGGCGGTTGCGAAAGCTATAATAGAGAGGAAATAAAAGTCTAATAATTGCAAATGGAAAGATTCACACGAGAAGTTTCAAACGGTAAGTTTCCGCTGCTCATATACAGACTTGAGTTTCCGCAATTCAGTTTAGGTCTGCGCGATTAATAGTTAAATTGCTCCTGACAAATCATTATCATTGCGAAATGCTTGAATGGTTAAGAAGGCACCACTAATAAACTTTCAACGATTTCGTTCTTCAAACAACATTCTTCTGAGGCTTTCAGTACACAGCTTGAGCTGTGCGACAAAGAAATCATACAGAACTTTCATATTTTGAGAAAGGAAAGTTTTTTTTCCAGATCTCAACCCATTCTTTTTCAAAAAAGGAACTTATCAAGATTCCGGCAATGTGCAAGTACTAAAAATCAACTGATATTTCCGTTATCCAAACCCATATTAAGCTCTCATTGAATCCCTGCTTTAGCCTAGAAAAGATTTTAGGGGGGGATCAACCTGTTAGGTGTCAGGTAGAAATTAACACGTTTCGATTTGACATGTTAGCAATCATTTTCGGTCAGACACAGGACTTGAGAAAATTCAAAAGCAGTCCAGTTTTTCTCATAAGGCAAGTAGCTAAGGCGTGCTAAACTTTAAGAAATCCTCGTTTTCAACCGAACTTATCCACAGGAAAGAAAACAAGATGGGGTGAAATAACCCTCTGGTGCGTGTCAGTTAGACGCTGGAACTCTAACATTATTTACGTTACATGAAAATCTAAGATGTTTACCTAGAAACAGGATGACATTACTCAATTTTCATAACTATTCAATTGGTGAGATAGGGGGGGGGGTGTTGATTAGGATAGGAGGAGGTCACATTGGTAGGTGAGCGACACAAAACTCTTGATAAATGTGGTATGCAGATGACATGTGAATTATTTTGTCGAGACAGGGGATTCACACTTTTCCTGCGGAGTTGGGACTAATTTGATAGAAGGATAGAACAATATCTTTTTTGAAAAAAAAGTCTAAACAGAAATGTACCGTTCAACTTGCTCACAGCATGTTTTCCTATCATATTGCTTTCTAATTATCTGATTATTTGAAGTTTCAGAAGTATCGTCGAATCTCACGAGCTATAGTAAAAAATATGAACATTGTTTACTTTCAGCTTCTGAATGTCACCCAATTATCTGAAAAAATGAACTGCTTACATCAGTGATTATTTCTTCCTGCTCTTCGCAATTTATTTATGGGCTTCCTACCGCCAAGCAGAGGAGTCTTCTTCTAAATACGTTTTATTATCTAAGGTTCTAATTAGGATGTTGGTCGACTGTCATGCATTGATTCCTGCTATCTCAAGAAAAAAGGCTAGTTAATTCAAATTGTCTCAATCTTTTTCCGTTTTCTTGCTTGATGGAGGCTGTTGCCCAAACCTCGAAAACATTCTGGATACGACCGATGGCTTTACGAGTATGTTTGAAGGGAAGAAACTGAAGAATTATGGCAGAAAAATGTATAAATCTATTTGATAAACTGCTCTATAACTGATCAAATTCTGACGTGCTTTGTCATAGGTCAGATTTTCAGTGTTTAGTGGTGTAATTCTTGGTAGATTCGGGACATTACGTAATGTAATTTTCGACAACATTTCTTTGGACTTGTGGGATCTTACATTTGGAAAGCGTCGCATCTATATAAGCTGACTAGCTGGCTTACCCGGCTCCGCCGTATCCGGACCAAACTTGGCACACATACACTTCGGGCCCCGGCGGATGTCACAGTCCACTTTTCGTTATCGATCGATGTCGATTTTACCGATTTTTATCGATTTTTTTGCAGAGTTCACCTACAGGGCTAGGAGTTTGCACAGGGGGGAAGTGAGCATGGGGATTCCGAATACAATATTAGTTTTCAGAATTATCGATTACTTTTATTGATTTTATCGATTTTTTGTAAATTTTGACCTGCGGGGCTGGGAGTTTGCACAGGAGGTAATCGAGCATGCAGATTACGATTACAATATTAGTTTTCAAGATCGTCCATTACTTTTATCGATTTTATCGATTTTTTGAAAATTTGAGCTAGGGGGCTGGAATTTGGCACAGGGGTGTAATCGAGCATGCTGATCACCCCCCTTGGGGATGATCAGCATGCTCGATTACCCCCCTGTGCCAAATTCCAGCCCCCTAGCTCAAACTTTGCAAAAAAATCGATAAAATCGATAAAAGTAATCGATAATCCCGAAAACCAATATTGTATTCGGAATCCCCATGCTCGATTACCCCCCTGTGCGAACTCCCAGCCCCGTAGCTCAAACTTTGCAAAAAATCGATAAAATCGATAAAAGTAATCGATAATCCTGAAAACCAATATTGTATTCGGAATCCCCATGCTCGATTACCCCCCTGTGCCAACTCCCAGCCCCGTAGGTGAACTCAGCAAAAAAATCGATAAAAATCGATAAAATCGATATCGATCGATGACGAAAAGTAGCCTATGACACCCGCCGGGGCCCGTAGCGTATGTGTGCCAAGTTTGGTCCGGATCGGTTCAGAAATGGAATTTTCTATTCGGAACATACGTACACACATACAGACAGACAGACAGACATACAAACAGACATTCAGCTTTATATATAAGAAGATGGAAAGAAAGTGACGATTTTGGATTTGGATGGGAATCAGGACAAGATCAATACTCATAAACACAATAGGTTAGAAAATCAAACTACAGCAATACTTTGCGAATCTGCGATAATGATCCTAGATTATATTCTTCAATGAAACACGTAGCGCATGACAGTGTCTAAAGTTCGTTCACGGAAATTAGTAAAATACGTCACTCATGCAAAAACAAACACTCACTAACTAAATAATGGGTCTTTTTCAAGAGGAAGTTTCCACTTTACATTGATGTGCGAAACGCTTGAATATCTTTGAATACTAATTAGAGCAAAGTTTTGTGTTATAATCTCCATCGCCTTTGGTTTCGGTCAGTAAAAAATCATAGCTTGCACACATTGACGTCATTAGCAGATTCGAACATCTGATAAAAAGCACTCTTAAAGCGCAAGTTTTTTGGTGCTGTTACTTATTGAAACTTAGTTTGCAGATTACGACTGCATGTATGTGTACATACGCGGATATCTAAGGACCACTATGACCTGTCACTGCCTAACACTATGCAGTCAACAGCAGATGGTTCGCAAAATTACGATGTTTAATGATGTTTGCAGACGTCTTATCAGGCAAAAGCTTAGCTATGGTCCTGTATGTAATCAGAAAAGAGGGCTATTGGATATGGCATCCCCAAGCGTCGTGTTGTAATCGCTTTTCGCTAACATCTCTTTTTGTTCTAAAATAGAATTGTTAAGTATTTGAAAAATAAGTTTTACAAATCTCCCTTCCTTACTGAAGGAGTTCCGGAAAAGATTTATAAATACTTTCACTCCTTCCAAGGACAGGAATAGAACGGACTTTTATAGCTGTTTACCGATAAACCATTTTTTACTTCATATCTTATTATTATTATTGCTTGAACTGCTAAGAAGGTAGTTCAACGCGTTTTAGTGGTTACTACATGAAGCTGAAATCTTTTACAGGCGTTATTGGAGGTCTAAGCCACATATACTGGTATGCGGATCATCATTAAATTATTGTTTCAACTACGCGAGCATTCTTCAAAGTTTTTCTTGTGTGAATCAACCGTACATAAAGGATTTGAGAGAATGCCATATATGAGATAGAGTTGTAAGTAGATGGAACACAATAGATGCTCATGTAGAGTTGTAACTAGATGGAATACATTATGTGCATCTGTTCACTTTTTAGTTTAATCATGCGGTTGAGGTTCTTCAAGATACCTTGCTAAGTGTGTCCCCATCTTCCATTTCATCAGCTACCAAGAGTCGCTTTCCGATAAACCAACACTTCTAGGCGAGCGGCGTCCTCAGACAAAACAAATTTTGCACTATGTAAGGCTGTGAAATGGAAGGGAACTTCGCTGCACCGTACGTTTGTTAGATATTACTGAGGGTTTGCAAAGTTCAAAACAGAATCGAGGCTTTTTCATTAGCATTTTGCATAGATGCTCCAAAGAAAGTGCAAGCACGCTTGTGCAACACTGGCAGTTTACAGTCATGTGAATTTATTTGTGTTTTTTTTGCACCGACAATCTTGGTTAAATGTTAGATTGAATATATTAGATTAGCGGACTGACCGTTGCTTGATCCCATTACAGTTATGACAGTGGAATGTGAAAAATTTCCGAATGTGAAAAATTCGCCAAATTCGCCGTTGTCGCCGATGCCGCCGACTTTGCGTCTTTTCGCCATAACTCCCTTCGTTCTCAATGAATTTCAAATTTGAAGGCAGATTTGGATTCAACTCGCCGAGACGAATCTTATGATATACAGAACAAGCGTAAACGGCTTTGCTACGATAGGTATACGGTGAGCTATCGAAAGTAACATGTAACCTGGTATAAACCTGGTATGTAGTTTACCCGTGATTATTTTTGTTGTCATGTATCTGTCATTTGCGTGACTTGTTGAGGAACTTACATCGTCGAGCCGGTACGAACACTTTGCTCACAAGTGAAGAAATCCCGATGGATCAAAGAATTTCGGCCACCGATTAGGTCGATTAGGCCCATGCTTTATTTCTTGAGAATGCACACTTCAGCTGTACGAGCGATACGCGTGGAGATGTGGCACGATTAGTGCTGGGCTAAGGCGCAGTGATGTCAACCGCTTTAGCCGAGTGGGGATGACGAGGGACAGAGTATTTATTTTTTTATTTAGAAGAGTAGGAAGGGGACAGAGAATGTTCTTTTGTTGAAGGGTCAGTTGTTGACAAGTTAGTGGAAAGAAATTTGGCTTTTGTAAAATACGCCTAACGCAAGATCGTGCTTGAGCACATCAGTCGTGAAAAGCTTGTCAGTCACGGGTGACAGATGTTTCAAGGGCAGGTAGTGCATAACGAAGCATGATTACGATACCCCTTTGCTTGCTTTTCTATAAAACGATTTTCAGCATGACATTCACCCCCATGTCGTTTCGTGGTCGACTGTCACCATCTATAGAAGGCATCAACCAATGGCTTATAAGAGTATGTTGCTGTGTTGGCATGTTAACTTAACGTTGTAATGACCACTACATTTCAACTAGCATGCGAAGTAGTCGATGCTTTTTTGGCCTAGAACAATTGGTCAACAGAAATTGACGGCCATTTAGAGCTCTGAATGCAATGTTAACGTCGAAGCATCGATTACGAATACCTATTATCAAGATGTCTAGGCATATAAAAAACTAGCTGGCATGTGTTCAAGGTGAGCCGAACCTTCAAATGGTATATGTTCATGCAAAGACATATCTTTTTGAGTGTAGTGCCTTTTTGAGTTCTCCGCTTTTCATCGTCTCCAGCTTTTCCACTGCTCCTTTCTGCATCGCATACAGTACTGTAATAAACCTTGCGATGGAATGATTTTAATTTTTCACTTCATTTTTAATGTTTCACTGTATCCAGCAGGTGAAACTGAGTTTCACCGCTCCTGCTCAAACGACTATGGCACAAGTGGTTAGTGCATGTCAAGCTTTCATTTCCTCATCTGTGTCCTGAACAAGTCAACGAAAAGATAGAATAGTTTAGAAGATAAGACCGAAAATTAGCCTGTGTTCTCCGACATAGCTTATTTATGTGGCGCAAATCAGACTGGATTTCGTTTTTGGGACAAATGCAAAGTAGATATCGTTTCTTTGCGGGGTCCGAGGCGACGCTCCGGGAAAAATTGTGTACGCATTTGTTACTAGTGAAGTATTTGGAGGAAAATTGCACATACAGTGCAAGACAGTTCAACCCTTCCTGTAGTACCAAAAGCCACACTCAGTCAAGCACAAGCTTCAAGGATAGTCATTTCACGATGAATGTGCTCTGTCGTTGAAAAGTCGTAGGAAGCGTGCGTTATTTGAAAGCAAGCCCAAAATCAACAAAGTGCTTGTTTACAGCGGAGAGACAAGCATATGACACCAAATTTGGACCGTAGGCATAGGATATTATTCACGAAATGAGTAAAAAGTTTAGAACACTTACGTAAAGTAATACCTTTTCCAAAATTAGTTCGTTTCCGCGGCCACCATACGACTGAGGTATGGAGCATATATTTTTGTATGCTCACATAAGTTTCGGTTTTTTCTACCACCTCGGATTTCCCGGTCAATGTCCCTGAGCATGAAGACATCTCATATCGATATTTTTTCTTTCGTTTTTTGCCTAAAATCGCATGAATGTCTTTGTTAGATATCGCGTTTCAATGACAAACACTTGTGCATGCGTAGAGCTCTACTCCGCTTTGAATTTTCAATCCTACTAAGCGTCGAAGCGTTACTTCCTTTCAGATCAGTAAATCATTTTTTTTTCATCTTCCTCCTGTTTCCGGTAGAGGTGAAAGTGGAATTCGTAAAATTTTCGAAAGTCACGGACTTTGTTTCCAGAAACCCCACAAACCGGCTCGTGCCGGGCCCTGCCCACTGGTCGTGCAAAAAGGGGTCTGTAAACCGCATATACTATCGCAGCAAACCAACTCTTTATATGTAAGGCCTTGGCCACACCTCACGCGATTTCAGTCGCAAAGCGATTTGGCAATACTATCGTTCATAACTCATCGTGCGCGAATCCATATGCAGAAAATAAGGCAATTGTTACCTTACAAAAGTTGTACAGACTATTATGTGATTGCAGTTTGCCACTGCTGGATTTGAAGACATCTGGGCCGGTAGTAATCCCCCCGACCTGGCGGCAGGTCTCGTTGGCAGGTTGCTGGCACCTTTTCCGTGAGGCGGCCAGAAAGTGAGACCCCAAATTTAGGCCGTCCCAGGCCTTTTTCCAAAAAGTTTTCTCGATAAAGAGGCCGCCTCGACTCTGTAGAAAACTCCATAAAAGTCTGCGGTTCCAGAACTCCCCTTTTAGGATAATATCTGAAAGCGCAGGAGGAGCTGCCGGCAACTTCGCAATGTCAGTTGCCGGCAACCTGCCGGCAGCTCGTCGAAATCCGCGAGATGGCAGCTGCCGGCAGGTCAGAGAGCACGGGAAATAGGGTGCTCTTTTGAGAGAGGGAGCTGCCGGCATCTCGACGTGCCCCTACCACGTCGAGGTGGTGGCACCTTTGCCGACGGCGTCTGTGAGTTTCCGAATTGCGGCGATATCACACAACTTACGTCAGGCGAAAAATTAGAAAACTTTACTTTTTATCAAAAAAACTATCATTTTTCGCATTATATGAGTTTTTCTTTTGAAACGACGATCTTCTTACAGAGAAAAAGTCTGGTCATGCTTTAGAACCATAAAGAACACTATCTTTTTTGGCAATCCCTTCTAAATCTCGTTTGCACCGATTTCGCCCTTCTCTCGCTCATATCAATCAGCTATTCTTTCAGGTCAAAGTCTCTCACGCAATGTATTGATCCCTCTTACAGGCGGCCACTTACCGGTGCGTTCCTCCCATTGCTGGTGCAATCGGAAATGTTTGCCCGAATGGTCGAATGGTTAACGGGGTGGCACTTGAAGTTAACGCACTTAGGTTCGGCCGCGCGCGAGATAGCAGTTTTGCGGCTGTGTGCGTCATCAAAATTTGATGTGCGAAATGATTGCGCATTAAGGTACATAAGATTATTGAAACCTACAATCACTCCACGAGCTGCCGCCAATGATGGCAACTTCCCCGCGATGTGTGCCTACCTGCCGGCAGGTAAGGTAGATTACTACCGGCCCTGGCAAAGTGCCATATCGTGTCACCTCTAAAATCGCATGAAATATGGCCAAGACCTGAACCAGCATATAGCACACCTTCAATATGGAAGAGGATTCAAAGCATAGGCCATTTTAAATCGGTTGCCCGCGTCTAGCATCCAACATCGAACGCTGCGCGGCTGGAGACGTGTGTCTTGAAGCGCAATGGGCTAGTCACAGGCAATGTGGGCGCGCACCTCTCTCTCTGATGTATTTTTTTACACTTTGAAGGAACTTTTGGTTAGGATGTGTTAAAACCCATATGGTAGAGCATAAGCTGCTAAATTGTTGAAAAGAAAGCTTCTTAATCAAAAGTACGCCTAGCAAGGAAACGATACTTGGTGTCCGTCGCCTTGTGAGATGAATTATATACCAACACGCTTGTTTTGGAACGATGATTCCGAATCTGACTTCCTCTGCTAATCGTTTCTCCAGAAGAAATTATGAAAGATTTTCGCGTCAATCGTCGCCCAAGAGAAATACGGTCGAGGATGGCTAACTTTCAGATAGAAGGCTTGGCACTAGCCGCTACGCCACATCTTAGCGGCGGTTTGGCATTCCGACCACTTCTCCTTTAGCGCGAAAACGCTCCATAACTTTTTTATCCAGAAAAACGATTAGCAAAAACGGAAATCGCATTCGAAATCACCGCTCCAAGACGGGTGTAATGGTATGCATCTCATCTCAAAAGGCCACGGACACAGAGTATTTTCCTTCTAAGTCCCTTGTGACAACCTTCAGCTTACGCTGGTGTTTAAGACACGGTGCGGGTGAGTAGTTTTACATGCCCTGTATCTGCAACTCTTTTTCATCAAAGCAAAAAAAAATTGTACACTTTTATGACATCTAGTGAGCGACATGAACAAAACTGTGTGACACAAGTGATCGCATCATCGCATGGGAGCGTTATTTTTGGTGGAAGACTTCCGGAAAGTGCTGGTACCGCTTGCAGGACTTATTGTCATTGTACCATCGATGAGTGTTCGACTTCTATTCAGGCAAAGGATATACATAAAGACTTTCCTAAAATAAGCTGATTTTGAGGTGACCTCATTGTAGAGGATTGCAAGTATTTACCGTTGAACTATTAAACAAGATTTTCTTACCTATACTCAGGTGCTCTCCATAAGTATACGAAGAAGTTCATGGAAGCGTTGATAATCACTAGCCATCCTAGCTGCTGGTTGATTTCATTCACAACTTTAGGGTTAAGCGGAAAGATCTGCGGTAAATAGCATTTACAATGTCAGAGTAGACGTTTTCTCCGAAAATAACCTGTGTTACGAGAAGTGCAAGCACTGTAACGAACCACGTTGAAATATAGATACCCATAACAATAGAAAGTGAATGTAGCAGACGTCGAATACGCTCAACACTTTGCTCGTGCGTATTTTTTGCTAAAAGCGAGTATGGAAGTAGCTATCTCAAACAAAGATTTGGAAATTACCACTTAGGCGGTGACATTTTACATGTGCGGTGCTATATACCATTATGACCAGAAACGCAATGACGACATTTGAGCCAATCCACACTGCTCGCGATCTACTGTTGAAAGCCGTCGGTGGAAGGCAAATTGGTACGATGTTATCTAAATAAAGTCGTTACAAGCAAACGTTGTGAATTCTTTGCAGCGGCAATTAGGATTAAGCATTTGAGATCTAATTTAAGAACCTCTAAATTGTTCCAAATATGTGAAATTATGCAAAATAACCCTAGAAAAAGGGCTGTTTTGTAGATTGCGTGTTAAAATTCAAAGCGTGAGGCCAAAGTGAGAGTTTTTTGAAATAATTACATGAAAGCGGGTGAGCATGTGGCTAATTATTCAAGTACCGTAATCATCAGTCTTGAATGTTTCTTACTAAGCCAGCTTTTATTTTTTTGTGCTAATTGCGAATTTGGCAAACCTGATGCGTCCAAATAACCATAGAATGTCAGTAAAGCTGCATAGATCAGCACGAACAATACCATAGTTACGTAGAGAGCTTTCGGCAGTCGTGAGTATCTGTAAATTTTGATGATATAAAGACTTTTATAAGCATAAGCACAAACCTTATAGGAAAGGTTACAGCGAAGAGTCGGTCAATACCAATGACAAGACCAATGCCGGCTTGGATGTTCAGTGCGAAAAGTCCATAGAAGCTTTGCATAAAGCATTCGACATTCTTGTGAAAATACCATCTTCGAAACATCTGCACCCGAAGTTGTATCTGACAGTGGAGGTATGTTAATCTAGGATCCTTTTTTCAAGCCATATGTTATAAACAGACCAAATATGCGCAAATAGTGAAATCAGCCATAGCTAAAATACAAATCAAAATGCTGCAGCGATTCCTCAAATGGCGTGACATAATAGTTGCTATGATTATTAATCCATTCCCAATGAAGCCAACGATAGAGAATGCCATTGTGGCCACAACCATTGGCATAGGTACGAGCTCGGCAGTTGCATTGCTTGACATCTGAAATTTAAACACGGAACATTCATAGTTACAACGAATTTTTCGTTGCTTGCGTCATATAGGTCTCAAATTTTGTAAAGTATACGTTAATTGCTGTTGAGGGAAGTCACTTTAACTACTTACGCAGAAAACAAACGAGGAAAACAGTTGTTAGAGCGACAATACGAAACACACGGTTAAATGAATCAAGCTGAATAGGTATTAGACATAGCCAATATCAAGCTCTTGCAGAGCTTTTTTGCAGGTAAAAAAATCAGCATTAGAATTTCGAACTTTCATCAAAAATTGTTACAAAATCGCTATAAGACTACTCAAATAATTTTGTTCAAAGCATGACATCTACTTTTTTTTGTAACACATGTAGAAATATCTGATCTTAAATACTGGAGTTTTTTGCGACTAGAAAGCAGAAAATTGATATCAAAATGTAAAAATCGTAATTATTCTAGAAACGTAAGTCAGCACGTAGTTTTTTCATACAGAAAACTTGGAAACTTGTAGGAAAATTAGCAGATGTTTTGATCATTCTAGTGAGCGAAATTCAAAAAGCCATTTTCTGTGTCGTTGCGACATAGCCATAAGATATCTTGAGATTCGCTCTATGCAGTTTTATACAAAAGGTTTCATTGACGTTGGAAAAGCTTTCGTCCCGAATTTTTGGTGCAAGACTTATGTATCACTCTTATGGAATCAGTATTTGGGTATGCGACCTTACAAAAAGAAGTATTAATATTTACTATGGTGAAGTAATGTAGCTAACTTGCTTTGTTAAATATAAAGGAGTTGCTTATTATTACAATATAGTATTATGTCGCATGAAGTTGTGCAAGAGGAGCAATAAAGCAAGTTGTTCTAACAGCACCATTGTATGTTTCCTTCTAAACGCCATCAGCCTTCAGAGCATCAAAAAAATGTGCTTTTGCAGTACAAAACTCTCAAAAATGATGGCTACAATAACGGTTGATTAGTGTTGATCTTTCCTTTCAGATATTTTTCCGTGCAAGAAAAAACTCGCCATCATTAGAGTGCTATAGTATTTTTGCGTAATTGCTTTTTTACAGCAAACATCTGTCGGAAATGACTAACTGAATTAGATTAATTTATGTCATAAGTAGTGCACTTGTGCAAGAGCTACAGTAGTCAGAACACGAGATTGTATAGAGCATTGAGGGCAATAATGTTCTTAAATGATTGTACACTATTTTTGCCGATGAGAAACTAAAGTCTGTTGGTTAAACGTTTTAAAATTTTTTTAGACTTATGCTTCCAGACATCTGAATCATAATTCTCGTCTCGTGCCCAACATGAAAAATAAACAAAAGGAACTGACATTGGAAGGATATGTTCACGCGGATCGCCAATTTTTTAGCGTTCAGAGAAAAACTGTCCCAGACGCGGACATGGAAGATTGCAGGAAAGCAGACAGTAAGACCAATTATTTCGAAATTGCGCATAACAATCAGAATCGTAGGTTGTTATCAACGTAAGCAGCACGAATTTGTAAAGTGCAGGAAAGACGGTTCCCTATAAAAATAATTGAAACCGTACTGTGGGCAACATATGTAACAATAGTTACGGTAATTCCAAGGTTCGCATACTTTTTGTCTGAAAGCATAGAAATAGACATTGTTCTGATGTTTTGCTCTTCGATATTCACGTCAGTTTCAGTATCTTTGATGTACAGGTAGGTTTTGAAAATTAGCCTGCAATTATATGTGCAGGGAAAATACTAGCTTTTCTTTGAAATGAACAAGACAACAACAGTGAATATCTGTGGAGCTTTTTAAGTAGGTAGTATACTATCAAGCACTGACTATCACCTATCACAGAAACTTGCTGGGGATGGTGGCGACAATTTCCGATTGAGATTGGGATGACTGGGCACGGGGCAGATGACTAACAATTAAACTCGTTTTAGCTGCAAGACAAAAAAAATTGGTAGAAGTAAAGACCGGCCAATATTATCTTCGCACAAGTTTAAATAGGTTGTCTCATTTGTTTCGATTTTGCCAAATCCATCGCTTATCTCCTTCGTTTATTTGGTAACGGTTAGATTACAATTACAAAGCAAACACCCTGCAAGATAATTGTCAAACGTCCGCCTAAACCGTAATCTATGCAAAGTATTGAGTTGTAAAGAAGGTTTTGCCAGTTATTTCATGATTATTGAAACTGAAGGCGAATGCAAGGGTCTGGTCTTAACAGGGAAGGATACATAGTGACCCCGGCCATTTATAATAGTTTGTGTATCAAAAAATGCGCCTTTTAATGCTGGTTCGAATACTGTTTTCCATATCTGCGAAACGAGAATCTGGATGGAGAAAAATCATTTTTTCAAGAATGAATTGCTCTACTGCGGAGAGTAAAAATCATTTATAAAAATTTTTCTTTCCTATTCAAAGGCTGAATACGATTTAGATAGGTATAAATACAACGTACACCTTTCAAGATTCTCCTCATTGGCTTCAAACGGTAAAATAGACCAAATTGGGTGAATTTAACAAGCTAAAAGTACGCAAACTTTTTGCGAAAAAAGTTCATAACTGCCTTCATATGATCGTTTCGCAGATTTCGAGCACAAATTTAGAATTAGCGTTTCGAGGTGCACCTTATGGTATACATCGCATACCAAAAGGCCGGTTTCACCAAGTATCCTTTCCTTGTTAGATTCTTAATGCGCGATGACCTCAGCTACCGAATATGCTACGCAGCTTGAAAACTAACGATAAGCCAAGAAAAAGTGCCCAAAAAAGGAGAAAAATCGGTTGCGTTTAGGTTTGCGGAAATGAACATTTTTCAGAATACAGACGCGCTGAACTTGCGAAAACTTGACTTGAAAGTCCGTTCTCTACTCTTTGTGTTGGCTGAATAATGCGATATCCGACTAACACTTGCTCAATTACCTAGGCCTTTCCAAGCGCAAATGGCTCATTGATTTCAGGGCTCAAAATCGAACTTTCTACCTTCGAAACGCAGCCAGCTAATTCCCTTCTCGGAAAAGAGCGTCCATGATAAGAATAATTAGTAGCATAACCTTATCAGTACACGTGATCAAAACTGACAGCCACTCTTGAGGATATAGATAAAGCAATTCAGCTCAACCTCTACTGGCAGAACTCTTTTTAAAACCTATGTAGTATGAAGACCAAATAACTGATAATAGTTAAAAAACTAAATAAAACGCTGAAAATTTTACTTTCTTTACAGAACCTCCTAAAAGCTTCCCACATATCTTAAGCATGCACCTGGCACACATTCATTCGCTTTCCGTATATTTTCAATGGTTAGAAAAAAAAGGAAAGTGAAATGGGGAACTTTGCCCCTAGCGGTTCCAAGTTCCTCTAACACACGTAAGCACATACACACAAAGGTACGATCATATATTTGTCCCTTTGTCTGGACCATGGTTCTAAAAAAATACTGATTTGAGGGCTAAAAATTGAAAAAAATCATGAGACGATTTGATAGAGTCTGTAATAGACAGATTCATGTGACTCTGTTAACCACAGGCACATGAAAGGTCGTCGATATGGAAAGTGATTCTAGTAGAAATGTCGGATTTACAGCAAACATCAGCATTACTATTTATGTAGCACTAAAGTGCCAGTTCATTGCATTAATATTAACGAGCTAATATCTAGCCAGAAGCCAGAGTGTTAGCAAAAATAGTTGAAGTAGGACGTATTAGGCCATATAGACGTTTGCAAGCAATGCACTTTCATCTTACGTACATATTTTACGTGTACCCAAGGATTCTCACAAGCGATCTTTGTTCCGATTCTGATTACCATGAACTAGCCTTCAGGCCGCATTCTCACATGCATAGGAGGTTAAGCATGTGATGGTGAGAACGACTGCAAGAAGTTGTTGCTCTTATAATATGACAAAAATCAAAGAGCACACGAATTCAGTAGGAAAGTCTGTTACTTCCCTCCTCGCTGTCGAATCAATGGACTTTTTCAGATTTTTGATAATTTTTACGCCTATGCTCAAATGGTCCTTTCTGTCGGTTCGAGAAAAAAAAACTGTTGAAGCGGCTAGCTACAAAATTTTTCTTCGAATAAGGGGCGAAGCGGCACCCCTATCACGGATAGTATTTTGCTAAAAATTTGATTTTGGAGAAGTGATAACTATCTACAATCACAAGCCTTGTTTATTGAGTATAAAGCTCTAAATTTGTCGTTAATTCTTTGATGAGCTTCCAATTTTCTATAGAAAGAGTGAGAGCCATGAGAGCGCTAAGAATCTGAAAATGCACGAGTGAGTATAATTCCCGACTTTAAGATTCGTAGCGAATAATTTCGAGATTAATGGCGCTTTAGCTGTAAAGAAAATGACGAATGTTTATCTTTGTTTCACAAGTACTGGAAAACTCTTCAACATGTGCAAACTTTGGAAACGTAATCTATTTAGTCGAATCTTATCCTGCCTCATCCCACTTTTATTCATAATCAGAAATGAGCATATGAGTTAAAGGAATAACACAAAACCTTCAGAAAAACGAACATCCAGAGAAACGATGCATCGAAAATTATGTAATGCATAGCGAGCTGTTCTGAGAAAATGTTAATGAGTAGAAACGACAATGTTGCAAAAACGGATACCTTCTTCCTTTTTCAACATAGATATAAAGTTATGTATAGACTCCCATTATGTCGCAAAAGACTCACAGTTGTCTTCTCGGAAAACTAATTATCTCTTCAAGCGACGTACTCGTAGGTCTAGTGAACGCTTAGTTGCTGGCCGATTTAGCCTCTAGGAAACAAAGGCATAAAGTAGTGCAAAGCATGATTTGACTTTGAGACATATGAAACTGAGACTCTCGTTCTGAGATCGATAGAATCGTGTTTAGTCTGTTTATACTTCAATTATGCAAGTGCCGAAGAGTAGCCAAGTGCTAGTTACTCGTACTCTGCTGGATTGTCGGATAAGTGAAAACAAAAAATTTAAGGAAAATGTAGCGCAAAATTGTACAAAGACCTCGCCGGCGAGACTTCAAATTACTATAAAATCAGAGGGCGCACTTTGAATATCACCAAGGGTCAACAAGCCTGAGGAAAATTGGCCATCACTAACACTTTCCAATCAAGCCTCGCTGCCAATCTGGTCTCGAAACCTAACTAACCCACAATGATGCAGTGATCGTGGGAAGATGTGCATGCGTGCTGTTCTATGAATGCTGAATATGTAAGGCTAAACATTGGTCGCAGCGGCTTTCTCCGCTTCAGAGATGTAGGATAAGCATATTAGATGCTTCTTCACAGACTTACTCTGAATATTTCATGTGCAAGAATGCGTATCATGTGCCGGATTCCAGATTAGAGCTACTACTGCATAAAACTAGTATCGTCTAAGTTACATTAGGTCATTCCAAAAATGATGTCGTTTTTTCAAATGAACGCCACATTTCGTGGAACAAAGATTTCTAAGGCAGCGTTCATACTGATCCCGAAGTCCGGGGACAGGTTCCAGCACAGTGCTCGAATTGAGCACTGTGCTGGAACTGTTTCCGAACTTTGGGATCAGTATGAAAGCAGCCTAAGAGATTTGGTAGCCTTCGATGCAGCCTTTCATCCTCTTTCTAGTGGTTACGAAATCGTTGCAGCGCATCATGAGCTCTCGGAAAATTACCAAAATCTGCGAATCATGCTCTTTGAAATGGTCAAGTTTCACAGTTCTTCTAAACCTTTATATCAGCCCTCCGAAGAGTCCAAGTAACGATTAAACCCTACAGGATGCAAAACAATTTTTCTCTCACTTCCATGACTCGTCATCCTTTTTTGATAGAATTTTAAGTGATACTACCTATTCCCATAATTGGTCGATTAAAATCTGGTAGAACATCAAAGGAAAAGCAGCTCAGGTGCTGTTCGATGCAGCTTCTACTCCTCTTTCTGATGTGTGTTTTCGTGTTTCCGGTTCGTTTAGTCTTCGGGATAAAAACATCATATCCCATGTTTTTGAACGCGAAGCAGGTTATACCCGAAAATTCGAAATTTATTTCGAAGCTGTAAAATCTCATTTGCTTTGTGAAATTAGTGGTAAATTTGGTACCGTCTTGGAAGTTCCAAATTCCGGATAACTACTGGTGTTTGATGCGATTGTAGCTGACGACGACCAAAATTTGATGGTTTTACTTCGAAATCTTTAAAAATCATAGCGAGATATGAAAAAGAGAAAAAGTTGTAAATCATTTAAGGTTTGCTCTATCGATTCGTTACTTGGAGTTCTTTGGATGGATATAAAAGTTCAGAAAAATTGTGAGACATGACCATCTTAAAAGGCATAGGTCGCAGATTTTGCTAATTTTCGGAGAGCTCATTAACTGTGCTGCAAAGGTTTTATGATCATTAGAAGGAGAATGAAATGCTGCATTGAATGCTGCCAAGATCTCTTCGAAAATCTTTTTTTCACGAAATGTAGCGATCATTTGAAAAAAGCGACATTACTTTTGGAACGACCTATTATTTTCTCCATGGAGCTGATCTATGTAATGAAGAATGATGCGCAAGGATAGGCATGAGTCGTATTAGATTTGTTACGAAATTAAAATGACAATGAATTTGTTCGTGCATTAATCCAATAATCACTGTACAGCTGCAGCTTGAAGGATGTAATCTTCAGTGTGGGGAACAGCATTTGGGAATGAACACTGCTCTAGATGATCATTGGCTTGGAATCGCTACAAAGTTCTCGTTCGTAGTCGGAGGGCAGAATCAAGGGCCCTCTACCAAATTTTTTAACCCCTCGCTGCTAAAACATGTTAAATTATTTCTCAGTTCCCAAAAAAACGTCACCGGGATGCTTGATAATACACCAAGGGAGAACTGCAATTTGACTCTAGCAATTGCCAACTGTACTGAATCTCCATCTAGTCTACCAATCCCTTCACTTATAAAAGCAAAATTTCCATGTATGTTTACAATTTCTACGATTCCTTGAGCAAAACTACAATTAGAAGACATTGTCGCAATTTCAAAACTACATTGTATCATTGTTCCGTCAATAACAAACAATAAAGTAGACAACCTCCATCACGTGTTTTAAAAATATTGTGAAGGAAGAATACAAATTTGTAGAAAGGAAATAACTTCAGCACCCATGTGATTAGGCGTCGTAGCATCGCTGCGGAATCAGATTGAAGTGATTCTCTAGTGGTGTACTGAATCAGAAAAATTGAAGAAAATTGATGTTGCTGTGAGGGTCGAATTTGGTGAGCTTTATATTATCCGCAGCCGAGCGACACGTTCCTGTCTTGTTTCATAGAAGAATTGTGATATGAAAATTCTCAGACGAGAAGTGATTGGCATTCTATTAGCGCAATTAGGGGACATTTGTGCAGGTAGTACCTGCGTTCAGACGATAACACCAGACGTGATTGCAATCTTTATTAATGAGTAACCGGTAATGTTGGCAGTGATGTTTGCAGTGTTAGCCGTACGTATTTCTCGTAATCAAGGCTCAGCATTGCGGACATCGAGCCTTCGAAAATGATGTAAAAAAATTACCGTTGGAGAGTGTGCTTATGAATTTATGCAATATACATTTCACGATATGGTTGTAAAACTGGGTTCAAATAATGGAGTGCTGAAAAGTGTCAATAGAGCGTTACTCAAACTTCTCTTTTGGGTGTCTACAGCTGCTATCTTGGCCATTCAAATGCAGATGCGATCAGAGAAATATAAAAAAGCAGCTATTTGAATTAACAGATGCATAAATTGAATTCGAGCAGTAAGTACAGTAATGAAAAGGAAGAGAACCGGTGAATGCATCCACTGCAGTGACTATTCGTATGACCTACGCACCCAATGACCTCAAGAATCATCAGAATCAAGAGCAACGTTCTAAGAAAACAGATATATCATACTTGAGCAGAAAATTGATGATTTCCACTGCAGACTATTTAGTCTATCATACAACTCAAGAATCAGATGTTTATGCTACATGTCCTAACACTTATATGGACGACGGGCCTCGGGTTGCTCTTGCTTAAACAGGCGATGTTCAGGAAAACCTTTCTAAAGCAGGCAAGCTTTAGGTGATACTCATGGTGTTATTAAGTGTACCTGTACTCAGGTGCTCTGCAGAAGTAGACGAAGAAATTTGTAGATGCATTGATAATTACTAGCCAACCAAGTTGTTGAACGATGTCATTTGCGATATTTGGATTGATGGGAAGAAGCTGAAAGTGGATATGTAAATGATATGCAAGACACAACCATCGAATCTCACCCTAGTGATGAGCAGAACAATCACTGTAACGAACCAGGTGGAAGCGTAGATTCCCATCACAATTGACAGCGAAAGTAGCAAACGTTTGATACGTAAGATACTTGGCGCGTGAGTATTTTTTGCTATGGAGAGTTTGCAAGATTTTTATAAGTTGCAAAGCTTTTATAATAGTTACCACTTAAACTGCGGCATTTGACATGAGCAAGGCTGTATACCGCAATCACCAGAAAAGCGATGACTACATTTGAGCCTATCCAAACCATTCTTGATGTGCTGTTGTAAGCGGCTGGAGGAGAGCAATTTGGTATGATGTCTTCTGAAATATGGAACGTTTATGGTTGTCCCAAAAGTTCTGTTGTTTCATTTCTGAAAATTCGTAACGTATTTGCTTCTTTTTGATTTTATCTAAAAAAAGAAGTCCTCGTTCGTTTTGGCAGGTATCTCGGTGATCTTCAACTATACATTCATTCCGAATAAAATATTATGTTCAAACAAAACCAGCTGCAATTCGGGTGCACCATGAAAGAAAACCGTTAGGTACAAATTTTTACCAAATCGGAGGACAGCCACTAAATTACGGGTCTGGAATTCCAATGAAATCTCTGTTTCATGTATCATAGGATGAGTGCAAGTTAGCATGCGCAGAAATCAGCTCTGTTAGGTGCAAATGGTGTGCTAATTAGCGTGCTGACAGTTCATAACTCCAAAACTACGCTGCGGCAAGTCCTTGGGTGGATAAGTTCTCTCACTTGAATATGTGGACAAGATGTTTTTCGCTCAACTTCCAGAATCCCCATCACGACTCGGCAACAGATGACATCATGGACTATTTGGAACGAAGTCCTTATTAACTTTGCATAAAATCTACGATGCCCTATGAATCGCTCACACGAAAAACAAAAATAAACAACTAGTGGAAAGGCTAAAGACGGAGTTAATGAAATGGAGCCAAAATTAAAATGAGATCCAGGGCCGATAATGATCCACCCCACTTAGCGACAGGCCTGGCCCTCACTTCGGCGTCATCTCGACGTAAGGTCGGCTAAGACTACGACCTCCATTCAGGTCAGGTGCCAGCACCTCGACTTGAGCCTACCATGTCAAGATGCTGATCGCGTGTATACCTTTGCGTGATGTGGCATCAGCAGTTCACGTCCTGACAACAAAACTACTAAAACTTCAAAAGAAGTCGTTTTTAATTATTCTTTTCTTTGTTTTAATTGATGTTTTTTATAGCAAGAAATTTATTGTTATCGCATGACGCTAAACAGCATCATCTTCTTTTTATATCTCTTCCAATTCTTGCATTTTGTTACTCGTGTCCTCTGCTGTTCGATGTTCAAGGTTTACCGCACATTCTGTCATTCTCAGTTCTCGATCAATACTACTTTTCTGCGCATTCATGGTTTTTGCAACGGCCGAATAGCATGCACGTGTCTCAGACAATTGATCGGACCCCTCCGGCGGACAATCGAAATCTGCCAGAGCCGCGGCGGACCCAGTTGACCAATGAGAGCGGGGCGAGGGGGCGGTCCCTTCTTGTAACGTCACAAAGAAGGCAGATCGGACCCCTCCGGCGGGCTTGTAAATCTCTCCGCCGCAAGTACGCCAGATTTGCTGGAGTCGCGGCGCAGAGATTTGCCCGCCGCGATTCCGCCAGATTTGGAAGAGCCGCGGAGCAGAAAATCGGAGGGGTCCGGGACAGAAAATCGGAGGGATCCGGACAGAAAATGGGAGGCCTCCGGCACAGAAAATGGGAGGCCTCCGGCGCACAAAATGGGAGGGGTCGGGCGCACAAAATGGGAGGCGTGCGGCGCACAAAATGGGAGGGGTCCGGCGCACATATATGTACGCAGTCAATTTGCTGTGATACGCAGCTTACCATTTTTGAAAATAAGTTGCCGTCGCTCTCGTCTTACTCGTTTTTTGTCGTTCTTTCGCGCTCGTTTTTCTTTTTTTTGGTTTTTCGTGTTCCTCGTCGGCGCGCTGGCGTTTATTTGTTCATCTTCTTTTTTTCAGGTTTCAGGTTTTAGGACATGCGGATGCACTTAGTCACTTTTAGTGTTTGGCTCTTTTCGACTTGCTGAGACATCGTTGACTATTGATGGAGTGGTTTTTGTGATTGAGATTCGGCCTCGGTACCCTTATGTGCTGTCTCTTGAATTATTTCCGTGTTTTCGGGATTGATTGATGCTAGAATTATCCGTATACTGCTTGGCTCTGTCTCAGGGAATATCTTATACGGTTAGTCTGTCGCATTCTTGCTAAATGCAGATCTGCTATGCAAGTTCATGCAACTCTTTCACATTTTTCAGTATATCGTCTACTTACAGTTTACCTGTTAGAAATTGTGACAGGGGCTCAACAAATTTTCATTTTTCTTCGAGATTCCAACTTCTCAGACTTTGCACAAAGTCATAATATGCAGGGAAAGTCTATGTCCTTGTTTCTGATGATAGATAAGCCTTCAAATTTGCATTCCAGCGTGAGGGTCACTCTAAGAGAAAAGGTCCACAGAAATGTCCATGTACCGTCGCACCGCAAACCAAACTTTACGTAGCTGCAGGTGAAAGGAGAGATATCACAGTGAAGGTGAGTGGTACATTCTACGAAGTGCTCATTTTTGAGCTTGTTTGTAAGGTCCAAAACCTCGATCCGATCTTCATGACGGATTTTCGATGTCACTTTAAAGTAGGAAACGTTGAACGCGAAAAACCTGCTGTCGGGACATTCGACGACAATGTGATATGAGGAAAATTGCAATTGTTTTGATTTTGCATCCAATTCTGTTTGTGCTTGTGATGAGATGCAGTTCGATCACTACGGGCTTGGTGTATCGGGAGGATCAGCTCCGGTCGAATTCAACGTTGTGTGGTCCTCGAGAGATTCTTCCAGAAAACACTCTGGATAACATTGGTGGAGTGGCCGTGGAGGTTAATCGGATTTTTTCAGTGACAGGTGTCGTAATTTGTGGTTTTTCCAGGTTTATAAGTGCGAAGCTCTTGCATCGAACTGTGGCTGATGTCTTACGCTGAATGCTGAAAAGTATGAATGTGGCTGGTATGTTATAGACAACAGATGTGTTAGACCAATGGCATGCTTGGCAAGATGCTTGGCAAGGTGCGTTTAGTTACTGGTTCACTAGTCTCATTACACATGGTCACCCCACCTGATAGTACTTCTCGCTAGTAAAAGCGGCAATTCCACAGGTGAACGCAGCAGCAGTAGACCTAACCTTCGTTTTTCCACCGACGGGTCCCTTTTTAGGACTGAAGTCTTCATTAGCTGGATTTGCCCACAGCTGCGTGCTATTCGGCCAATCTTGTGGTGATCTTGCCAAGCATGCCATTGGCCTAACACATCTGTTGTCTATAACACACCAGCCATATTCATACTTTTCAGCATTCAGCGTAAGACATCGGCCACAGTTTGATGCAAGAGCTTTGCACTTATAAACCTGGAAAAACCACAAATTACGACACCTATCACTAAAATAATCCGATTAACCTCCACGGCCACTCCACCAATGTTATCCAGAGTGTGTTTTCTGGAAGAATCGCTCGAGGACCACACAACGTTGAATTCGACCGGAGCTGATCCTCCCGATACACCAAGCCCGTAGTGATCGAACTGCATCTCATCACAAGCACAAACAGAATTGGATGCAAATTCCAAACAACTGCAATTTTCAGTAAATCGTTTTGCAGTCAATTTAAAATAAATGTTTCGTCTTGTCTTCATTCTTCTATTTTCTATCTACAAACGCTGGGGGTGAGAGGAAGGGGGCAGAGTACGGGAGTGAGGGTCGCGCTGAAGTCCTACCCGGGGAGGGGGGGGGGTCGTATTCGGCTAATTTGAGTGGGGTTTAGAGACATAATTGGGTTTGAAGCTTATTTAGGGTTAGTTACAGTATGCCGCGGCAGACTTGCGGAGCACAAAATCGGGGGGCTCCGGCGCACGAGTGGCAGACCCCCCCCCGCTGGGGAAACCCCGCGGCCCTGCCATTTCTGCGCCGGAGGGGTCCGATCGGCTGTCTGAGCGTGGTTGATTGGGTGGAGCGAAGTCGATGCATGAAGGTTCAGGCGCGCGAGATGCAAGTGTTTTGCATCGGTCTGGTCGCGGTCATTCTGGAGCTCACGGCGGAGTTGACAACTTTCCGCGACGTGTGCCAATTTGCCGGCCTCTCTGATGCCACAAAGTGGATTAGATTACTAACGGCTTATGCGCTTTCGCTTTTGTGGCACGTCGTTTATGGCGCACCACTACAAGCTTGCGCGACAAATGCCCCGTCATCTGAAATTTTTGGGGCTCTGAGTATGCGGAAAGCGGAGTGTTGAGGCTCAGGGGAACTATGCATAGGACATAGGATAGTTATTTAGATTTGGCCAAAGAATTTCTAAGAATTGGAAAAATTTACGTTTTTTCTAATGGACCTTAGATGGCTTGCAGTGATCGAGACCGAGGCCCCCAACTTGGGAAAGAGACCACGGTTTTTGACTCATACAGCTTTTTCATAAGATAAAGTACCACGTTTTCGACGCATACAGTTTATATAACTCTTCAAACACCGTTACAATTTTTCATGCGCTACACTACAAATTTTGTGTCATATCACCGTCTTTTTGTTGTAAACAAGCCTTTTGTTTTTCCAAAAATTTGGCTTTCGCTTTGACTTCTAGCGAGGGCATATTGGGGCTCGGAATTGTTGCTTTTGCGAAGAATGGAAATGATAATGCAGCGAGCCACTTTCTCATATCTGCAGAAGTTCCATGTGTTGGAACTTCTGCAGATATGAGAAAGTGGCGGAAAAGAGAAAGGAGGAAATCAAAAGTTGGAGAAGTGGGAGGGAGCATTAACATAAGACTTTTGTGACATTCTGTTCAAGAACTTTCTGGGGAGGGCGACGTGAGGACGAGACCAAAAACAGCAACCACTTTTACTATCCCTAAACGGTATCCATCTTGCCAGTGTGCCATGCTGGAGGGCGCTAGAAACATTTGTAGTTTTGGTGGCAGATAGATACACTGAGTCGTCTTTCGCTATCTTACTTACAGGATATGGTCAGAGAGTTCACTAATAAGTTTTAAATGTGAATGGATTGAGCTGGTATTTATGTTCTGCCATGGAATATGTCTACTAATAGTACTTCTGCCTGCTTTTTGTTTTGTGAGTTGTTTGTTGTTTTGTGAATTCTTCATTGTAATGCATATGTTTACCTACAACTCACCCGAAGAGTCCCAATAGCCAAACATTGTTAGCAAGCCTGCGTAGGTTAGTACGACGGTCATCATCATCGCGTAAAGAGATCCTGGTAGCCGCGAATACCTCAAAGAGCCTGATTTTTCTAATTCTGAAAAAAGTGCATTTGAAGATAGCCATAGATGCGAAACCTTGTAGAAAGAACAATAGCAAGCAGTCTATCGATTCCGATAACAAGGCCCATGGCGGCTTGAACATTTAAAGCAAAGAGTCCGTGAAAACTGTGCAAAAAGCATTCAATATTTGTACGTAAGTACCAATTCTGAAGCAATTGCACTCGCATTTGGATCTGAAAGAGCTTCACTTGTCAATATTCAACTACTCAAGTATAAATAAACATACCAGATATGCACAAATGATGAAGTCAGCTATCGCTAATATGCATATCAACAAGTGGCACCTACTTCTTAACTTAGGTGACAGTATAGTAGCCGAGATTATTAGTCCATTTCCCATGCAGCCCACAAGACAAATAGCTATTGCAGCAAGAAGTGCTGTCCTTGGCACCAGTTCATAAGTATTGTTACTTGTCATCTCTAGAGCAATATATCGCCAATCATTTGAACAAAGACTGCAATTGATGAATCGATTGAAAAATGCTGCGCATATTCTACGGGTAATCAAAAGAGATCTTTTTGGCGGCTTGGTGGGATCAATACATTGATTGAAGGAAACGATCTATATGTAAACGTGTAGAAGATTCCTAAAAAGATACAGAGAGGTGCACGCGGTGATCCTTGAAGACCAGCAGCTAAAAAGTGTTTGGAGGCTAGGCCTAAGCGTACAAAACTACCCTATTTTCAGGTGTATAAGCCGCAGCCTTTTTGCTCTAAACGCGAGCAGACCCAGGCGTGCCGCTGCGCATGTGAAAGCGGTCGCACATTGCTCTCACTTAACGCGCCCCATCGTAACAGGCAGTCTTTTGACGTGTGCGCCTTTAAAGTGAAAAGGGTGAGGATAGGGTAGCTGTCAAAAGTTGTACTATAATTTACTTGAGTTTGAGGAAATCGCGATCGCTTAATTGAAGAAATTGTCTTTTTTAGTTTAGGCAATTTACAAAACATTTCCATCGAAAAAAAGAAAAAGAAAACGCAAACGTTTGGTAAACAGACGTTGCCATCAATCCCACTTACTCATACAGTCTCGGGGGTAGGCGGCGACGCGCTCAGACATCGCTGAGGAGAGGCGGTCAGAGGAAAATGCGCGTTGTTGATTCGTCGCACTCCGTTGCAGAATGTTAGAAAAATAACACGATGTTGTCTTCTTTCTTGCCCCGATTTCCTTGCAAAGTTGTCGCTTTATTGTCGAAACAAGATATCAACGAGCGGCCTCGCACAACGTGGTCTGCTTCCCAAATTTCTAAAAGCGGAGTGCGAGAAACCGATTATCTGTTTTTTCGGCGCCCTCCTACCCCGGCGATCGTATGAGCGTTGCTAGAAAAACGGCAGAGGTAAAAAGGGATCTCTCGCAGTTATCTCGGTGATATGTCAAGTTCAAATGGAGAAGGCTCTCCTTTTCGACTTTTGAAACGCAACTGTCACTCCCTTGACAACTTTTGATAGCAAGTTGTAGCAGTCGCCGCCCACGCGCAGATTTACCGCGTTCCTCTATTAAAGACCGCTTGGCTCAATTACCCGAAAAACTGCCTCAAACTCAGAGACAAAACACGTGCACCAAGTGAAGTCTGCCATGCGAACCTACGGTTTCTGAAACGGAGTTCATTTCAAAAAAATTCGCTTCTCTATTTTAAAATTGAACCGTATCTTCATCAGCTGCAACGCAGCCTTTTTATTCGAATGTTATGCTCAGCTTCTTTCTAGTTACTGCACAGTAGCTATAAGGGCTTTTCGGCAGAGAATCATCGGCACAGTTTTCATTGAACAAGAAACTACGAAGCTTAGAAACGTTATCAGCTCCGCAGAACGAAGGAACGACGATAAATGAAATGACCGATTTTTTCATGACCACATAGGCCGTGTATAAGTGCACATGGCCAAAATATTCCATGCCGAAATATGTCCGCAAGCAACCGTTCATGCCTATCAAGATTCTTAGCTTTAGGAGTAGTTATAGATATGTGACTCATTCCAGGTTATAGCCAGGGTTGAGCGTGGGGTCAGGCGCGCCCGACCTGGGGGATCGTATTGAGGGTAAGACTAAGGGGGGGGGGTCGTAATTAAGAATCGAATTTGTTAAGTTGGGAAGATACTGCGAAGGTGAAGAAGAAATGCGCTAGTCCGGTGGATATCGCGATCACATGAAGACGACGGTCATAAACAGCATACTGATTGTTTCCACAATGGAAGTTTCAGCCAAAATTCAAATCTTCATCTCTTTTACCCTGATATATGAGGTCGACAAGGAAGCTTGCTGTATGAAATGGGTATCATTTCCATAATCAGCATGTCAAATTACCTCTATGCGCTCTACAAACCATTACCTACTGCAGTTTCTAGTGTTTCTCAACGTCTAAGCGTGATTTTCAAACGTGATCAACTTGGTTTCAGAATTGAGGAAAGTCAGCTTTTGTATACTCATAACAAAGTAATATTCTCTACAAGTCTATGCTACAAATCAGGCTTCATATCGCTTTCAAACAGTGAAGTAACAAGCGCTGCCAAGATTCCAACCGTCGCTTTTTTCACGTTGAGTGCTTCAACTCCTCGGATTAGCACAAGGCCTAAACAAGTCGAATCGAGCTCAAACACTTACTGTGGAATCTTCGAGGGTTGAGCTAGCTAATCACATACTTGGTTAGAAAAGCTTTTTCGGAAATAAAGTTAATGGGGTCAGGCGCAACCCCTCAAAAGGTCAGGCCGCCTGAGCTTTTAAGGGGTTGCGCCTGACCCCATTAACTTGCCTTCAAAACTCAAAAATCGCCCCTTTTTTGATATGAGTATTGAGCGCAAAGCCTCTTCTTGCTATATTGAAAATTGGGAGCCAAACACTGCACCTCTGTGAAAATTATAGCTCTGAAAAGAGGACTATCCAGATCTAAAACTTGCCGTCAAGTTGTGTGTGGTTGTGCAATCGCAGAAAATCGAGCCTACAGACTTTCGAAAAATAGAAACCTGCAGTGAAGGCTGGTCTTCTTCAAAATGCAACACCCTGAGGACATGGAGGTGAAACGGAGGGTCGTTTAGGATCTTTCACAGGGAAGGACTTGTGCCTGACCTCCTGCTCAACCCTGGTTATAGCTACTACTGCGCAAAACAGTATTGTGCAAGTTATGAGAATTACTTCCTACATGGAACTAACTTACCTATTAGAGATTGCACAAGAAGAAATAAGTCGTGAATCCCTTTTGAAGTAAATATCCAGTGTTTGATTTTGACCGCTAAAGGAAAGAACACAAAGATTTGATATCACTCTGCAACTTAGAAGGTGACCATTAGCTTAGGAATCTGCTTAATAAACTGCTCTAGATGATCACATGTAGGCTACTGCATGACGAAGGCGCAATACCTTTAGGCGTGAACGCGGCTTTATTAGCCGCAGAACGCATGAGGCGCAGGATTTACAACGGTGAGGATACGCGCGCGCCGAGTTCGCGCCCGCCCAACTGAAACTGCTTCTGCCCTTCGTCATGCAGTAGCCTTTACTATTACTAGCTTTTGAAAAGACTTCATGTTCACATCCTTACTCGGAAAGCAAAATTAGGTGAAGAGTCATCTACAGAGTTTTTCAGATCCTCAATGCTCAGAAGCATCTTAACAAGTTTCTTTGCCCCCTTTGACTCCAGCAGCTGTCAAACTCTACCCAATTTCCATCTAGTCTACGAATTTATCCTCTATTTTCGAAAACGAAATCCCCATGTATGTTCATTCCTAGGATTTCTAGTGCGGATACTACAAATAGAGGACATTGTCGTAGCCTTGATTGACATTGTATCAATGCCTTCCGTCAAAACAAAAACAATCAAACGATTTATATCCTCAGCTTTTGTGGCACGTTAGAACGTCTCGTATAAATAAATAAAATATAAATAATAACGTTAGCTTCCATTCCGTGCTATACAAATATTGTCAAGGAATAATATGAATTTGCAGAAACGAATTAATCTCAGCTCCGTGTGATAGGGCATCGTAGCATTGCTGCGGAATCAGATTGAAGTAGTTTTTTAATGGTACACTGAATCAGAAAAATTGAAGAAATTGAGTTGCTTTGAGGATTGAACTTGATGAGATTTACATTACAGCTGTAGCCGAGTGGCACGTTCCCATCCTATTTTATAGAAGATTTATGTTATATAAACTCTCAGACGAGAAGTGATTGGCATTCCATTAGCGCAATTAGTAGGGACTTAGGTCTAATCTATGTCTAATGCTATCGTCTAAACGTAGAGAGTAGCTGCGTTCAGACGATAACACTAAAACTATTTATCTCTAGTAGTGAGTAACCGCTAAGGTTCATAGTGATGTTTGCACTGTTAGTCGTACGTTTTTTTTTCGCAATCACGACAGCATTCTGACCTTAAAGCCCTTGAAAGAAATGATGCACAGAAATCACCTTTGGAGAGTTTGCATATGAGTTTATACAATGTACAGTTCATTTCAGTTTACTGGAAAAAGGGCTAAATAACGAAGTACCAACAATCTTAGTAGAGCGTTACAGATGCCAGTGTTCTCTTTCGCCTGCCTACTGCAACTTCCTACCTTTGTCCTTGCAGAAGTAGATGCACTAGAGAAATTTTAGCAAGATGACCAAGTTCGAGGCTCGTAAAATTTTTCTGGAAGGATATTGGTATTTGAGCAAATAAAAATTTTTTAGTTTCTGACTCCAAACTTTACCTGAATAACGACTTAAAGTCACGTGCATTAACATCTCCGCCGAAGAGTGGATCGCAGCTCAAGTGGCTTCATATCCTGAAGCTCCAGTCATCTGAATTTCACGTTGTCTATCTATCCATAAATATCTCTACTATCCTTCACTATAAACATACTGAACAGGAGCTGCACAAGCCGTATTCTCCAGCCTCTTGTATCCCCCGATAATCCTCGGCGACCCACCATCTTTCCATCAAAGTCATTTTTTTTCACATTTGATGAAATCGTGCCAAAGTTTCACTGATTATCTCCAAACAGTGCTAAGTACGTTTCTGATAGGAACAAATGTTATATCAGGGTTATATAAATTGCGATGAACCACGAGTTGAAAGTAGGGGTTTATAGAAAATTTCGATTTTAATAACTCAGTTGTTCCTATCAGCAACACACTTAAGGCTGATAGATTGGATAAAGAATACAACTTTGGAATTCAACGTTAACTTCGGAGAAAGAAAGATGGCTTTGAAGAAAGGGCGGTCGGGAGCTGGGGAACTCAGGGGTTCATACGAAAAGCTGGAAAATGCAGCTTGTGAAGCTTCTCGCGCCTGTTCATTATGTTCATAGTGATGAATAGTAGGGATACTTACTGACGGAGAGACAGCGTGAAATCCAGCTACCTGTAACTTTAGGATTTGGAGCTCCCTTTAAACTGCGATCCCCTTCCCAGCGGGGATGTTAACATGTTTCGGACCGCGAAATCGCGCGCGACGAAAAAGAGTGCACTTTCAGCCATTAGCCAATAAAGGGACCTTAATTCGTAGACTCTGTGCTGCATCAGTAATCAGCTTGTCAGATAAGTTTCATACCCAAAGTTCTGAGCGAATTTGAAGTGTTCAAATTATGTTGCTTGAGAAGGACGTCTGTGTTTTCTTGAAAGATAGGAATAAGAACTCAGTTTCTAATAGTATCCATAAGTATCTATGTTGTAAACGTTACATATCAGTATTGTAAGTACGGTTTCTCTCTTTGATATCGAAGCAAAGAAAAGTGCGACGTCGCACGCGTCGTTCGCGTTGCCGCACTTCGTTGCAACTGTCGTTCGATTTGCGCTCATATCTCCTAAACAAATATGGATGGCACAACTCTACAGAGTGATTCGAAAAGTAGAAGCTTAGGCCTATGACTTCATGACCTTGGAGTAAAAGAAAACCTCCTGTAAACGTCAAAAAGATCCTTCAAAGCAGCGTGCTGCACATCCCGCCGGGGAGGGGATCGCAGCTTACAAAGAAAGCTCCATATTATGAAGCTCTGACTTCTGAATTCCACGCTGTCTACCCATCCAAATATTCCTACCATCCTTCACTATGAACATATTGAACAGAAGCAAGAAGCTGTACAAGCCGCATTTTCTAGCATTTTGATGATCCCCTAATGATCCCTGGCGGCCGATCTTCTTCTCTTCAAAGTCAATTTCATTTCTTCAGGCTTAGCGAAAACATTTCAAAGTTGTAGTGCTCATCTAGCCCAACTGTGCTAAGCATGTTACTGATAAGAACAAATAAGTATTGGAGTCATGAAGTTTGCGATGAACCACAAGTCGAATGTTGAGGTTTATCAAAAAAATTGATTTTTCGAGAGCTCATCTGTTCTTATCAGCAATATGTTTAGCATTGTTGGGTTAGATAATCAATACAACTCTGGAAGGTTTTCGTTAACTCTGAAGAAGGAAAATTGACTTTGAAGAAAAGACGTTAGGCCGCGGGAGATCATCAGGGGATCATACAAAAAGCTGGAAAATGCGGCTTGTACAGCCTCTCGCTCTTGTTGAATATGTTCATAGTGAAGAAAGATAGGAATACTTACGGATAGGTATACAACGTAAAATTTAGGTATGTAGAGCTTCAGGTGAAGCTTTCTTTCTAAGCTGCGATTCCCTCCCAGCGGGGGTGTTAATGCATAGAGCATGCATTGAAATCCTCGCTGGAAAGGGGATCGCAGTTCAAAAGAAAGCTTCACATTCTAAAACTGCGGAGTTTTGTTCTTTACAACGCCTATCTCAAGTGTTTTTACTTCTTCTCTATGAATTAAATGGTAGCAAGGGGTCGTACAAGCCGCATCCTTCTTTTTGCATGACCCCACGATGATCCCGGGCTGCCAAACGCTTTTATTTCCAAGTCACTTTTCTTGCTTTGAAATTGATGAGAACATCACAATGTTGTATGGGATATCTAACACAGCAGTGCACACGTTTCTGATAAAAATAAATGACTTACTACATATCGACATTTTCGAAAACCTCAATTTCGGCTTTTTGTTTATGGAGATTTTCATCACCTCGATACATTGTTTGTTCTTGTCGGAAACATGCTTAGGGATTAGGTTGTCAGCATGACCTCGAGATGTTTTATTCACTTCGAAGAAGAAAAACGAATTAGAAGTAAAGAGGGTGGGGAGATCATCGGATCATACAAAGGCTGAAAAATGCGGCTTGTACACTTTCTCGCTCTCGATCAATGTTTATAATGAAGAGTAGTGGAAACACTTGAGAAGTGTACGGTGTAAAATCCAGAACTCCGCAGCTTCAGAATATGAAGTTTTCCTTTGAACTGTTATACCCTCTCCAGCAGGGATGGTGATGCATGTTGCCCTCAGAGCATCTTCGTTGGTAATTATGTAGAGCTTGCCTTGGTCTATCGGTACCCCAAGTCTGATAGGAACAACAACATTTAGTTTTATTCAAAAAGAAAATTACTTTTGGGACAAGCTAGTCTAAAGGTGAGCATCGTTTCAGGAAAACAGACATATATTACTTGAGCGTGCCGTACTGAGAACGAAGAGAAGATGACTCTTACTCCATACCTATTTTCTATCACACACCACAAGAATCAGAATGTTATGTTGCGTAGACTAATATTTATATGGGCAGGAGGCTTCTGATTGCTTTTGAATAGACAGCCAATGTCCACGAATACCTTCCTAAATCAACAAGTTCCAAGAGACACTCATGGCGTCACACCAATTGTACCTATACTCAGGTGCTCTGCAAAAGTAGACGAAGAAATTGTTGGATGAATTGATGATTACTAGCCAACCAAGTTGATCATTAATTCCTTGTGAAATACGTGGAGTAATGGGAAGAAACTGAAAGTGTATACGTAAATGTTACGCAAGACGACACAGCCAGGAATCTCACCAGGGTGATGAGTGACACAATCATTGTAACGAACCAGGTGGCTGTATAGATTCCCATCACAATCGACAGCGAAAGTAGCAAATGTTTGATTCGCAAGATACTTCGCGCATGAGTATTTTTTGCTACAAAAGAAAGTTTGCAAGGGTTTTATAAGACAAGCTGTTGTAGTAGTTACCACATAAGGTGCGACATTTGAGGTGAGCAAGGCCGTATACCGCAATGACCAGAAAGGCGATGACTACATTTGAACAGAACCAAACCGCTCTTGATGTGTTGTTGTAAGCGAAAGGAGGGAAGCAAACTGGTATGACCTCCACTAAAATGTACGCGATCAAGTACAAGTCTGAACTACAATTGATAGAGGTAGCTTGAGCATAAAGACTTTTTCTTTGATTAGTTAATGATTGTCGTTGTTTTGTGACTTGGTAAAAAATACCATCCTTGACTCGTTGAAACACATAACCTGCTGTACTCAACAAATTTGGTACCATATCAATGCTCTTTCGTTGTAAACAAGCCACTTTTTTATTTCTAGGAATTTGATTTTGGGTCTTACTGTACTCCCCCACAATGGTCGGTCGCCTCATCGTGGCGTGGGGGTGACACTGGGTGTCGAACTGCGATGCACAGCCGAGTGTATACTCTGGTAGGGCCTCCCAAGCTGTGAAGGAGTTCGACGTTTCCGGTTTCGGTCGGATGCCTAGCTAAGAACCGGCCACGCCAGATCCCCCGCCGTCTGGCTTCTGGTCGCTAGGCGGTCCCTCCCCGCTCCAAGCCCGGGGTCAGCGATCGCCCCGTGGAAATCAAGAGTAGGCCTAGTAAGCCACCTCTTGTAGGGGAAAATTCATATCACTCCTCCAGTTAGAAGATTAGAAAGAAACCCTGCACATCGTATCCCGCCTACGGCGCCGGGTGGTAGCAAGAATGATGTCAGGGCACTCAGGGCGCCTTTCGGATTGGACAAAAACGAAACGTCTGCCCGGACGACACGCCATGGAGACTGCCTCATGCTCTGCACCCACAACGCCAGAACAGTCTCCACAAACGCCGACCTCCACGTTCTTCTCGACGCTGCAGAGCACATCAACTACCACATCATCGCTCTGCAGGAAACGAAGTTTAGGAAGAAGGACGTGCGACAGATGAGTGACGGGACCCTCATCATTCGTGGTGAAAAGGTTCCATCACGAAACGTGGGAGGCGTCGGCTTTGTCGTCCACCCATCTATCGTCCATCTTGTCGATTCGCACGAGATCCTATCACCTCGACTGGGCATCCTACGACTACGCCCTCCACGTCAGAAGACCATCAGCATCAACAACTGCTACTCGCCAACATCAGCAGCTGACGACTCGGAACTAGATGCTTTCTACAAGACGTGGAGAGGTCGTCCGCAACGAAAAGTCCTTCTACAAGTATGTTGTGGGCGACATCAATGCAAAATCGGGATGCCACTAGAAAAGGAATATAGGATCGGGAAGTTTGGATATGGGCTCCGAAACGAAAACGGCAACCGTCTCGTTGGGCTTCTATCCGCCGCACGACTCTTCCATGGAAACTCCATCTTCATGAAGAAAGAACATCGCCGGTGGACTTGGGAATCGCCCAACGGAACGACTCATGCTGAGATCGACCACATTCTCACCAACCGAAGGTGGAGCTTACTCGATGTCTCTGTAGCTCCATCCTTCTGTAGTGGCTCCGATCACCACCTCCTTCGAGCGAAGATACGACTCAGCCGAAGGCTGGAAAAGAAAGTCTGTCATAGTGCCGCGAAAAGGAAGGAAGTCGTTTATGACGGTAACAGGCTGGAAGAGCTCATATCAAGTTGTGACTGGCCCATCGAGGAGGACCCAACGTACGACTACGACCGGCTTCTGAAAGGATTGCGAGCCTGTGGAGAATGCGCCTCAGTGACTTCTGAGAAGAACTTGGAGCGCATTTCGAAGACCACCAAGGAACTGCTCGAGAGAAGAAGATTTCTGAGGCAGGATCCGAATGCAGCCCATCTCGAGCGACTGATAGCCAACGCCAGTTGCAGAACAGCTTTGCAAGAGGATCTCAGGAAGTACAGGCAAGCCAAGATACTGGAAGCAGCCGAAAGAAGACGAAGTCTTAAGAAGTGCCGAAGGGACTTCTGCGAATATCACATACCGCTGGCTGCACTACTGAACGAAGACGGGACTCCGACTTCTTCCCGATACAAGATGGAATCTATCGCGAAGAACTTTTACACCAACCTCTTCCGCTCATCAACACCCGTGCAGATGCCCGTTGTTCCCACTGGAGAAGTACCACTACGAATTCTACCTGCTGAAGTGCGTATCGCGATACAGATCATGAAGACGTCCACGGCTCCAGGACCAGATCATCTTTCCGTCGAACTTCTGCGAGCCGGAGGACACCGTCTACACGAGATTCTAGCGTCGCATTTGACATCTTACCTTCAGAAGGAGAAGATTCCCGACCAGTGGAGAACGTCAAGGACCATCCTTCTCTTCAAGAAGGGTGAACGGGAGGATCTTCGGAACTATCGTCCAATAGGCCTGCTAAGTGTGCTGTACAAGCTTTTCACGAAGATTATCCTCGCTCGCATATCAAGGACACTGGATGAAGCCCAACCCCAAGAACAAGCTGGATTTCGCAAAGGATTCAGCTGCATGGACCACATCCAGACCGTTTCGAGGGTCATAGAAGTCTGCCGGGAGTACCGACTGCCTCTCGTCTTAATCTTCGTCGACTACGAGAAAGCCTTTGACAGCGTCGAACCAACGCCATCCTGTCAGCGCTAGTCGATCAAGGAGTGGACCCAGCCTACGTGAGGACACTAGCCAACTGCTACAAGGATTGTACAACAACGATACAGCTGTTCCATCGCCCCCTGGCCATACCAATCGGGAAGGGGGTCCGACAAGGCGACACAATCTCGCCGAAGCTGTTCACCGCGGCCATGCAGTGGGTGATGAAGTCACTGGACTGAGACGAGAGAGGATACGTGATGGGAGATTCCTGTCCAACCTTCGTTTTGCGGACGACATCGTTCTCTTCTCGAGCAGTATCACCGAAGCAGAGACGATGCTGAAGGAACTGAACGAAGTAAGAAAGAAGATCGGACTGCGAATAAATCGGAAGAAGACTCAGTTCATGAAGAACGCCCTTTGCAAAGATGCAGAAATGAAATTGGAAGGCACCCCTATTATGGAGACGTCTTCTTACGTGTATCTCGGACGTTCGATGAACATGGAGAACGACTTGAGGGAAGAACTTAACAGGAGAAAAAGAACAGCCTGGGCCGCCTTCGGGCCTCTGAAGGAAGCCACCGACCAACTGACGGACCCGGAGCTTCGTGCCCATCTGTTCGACTCAACCGTTCTCCCGGCGCTCTGTTACGCAGCTGAGACTTGGGCCGACACTGCAGCCACGTCGAAAGCTTTACGGACCACCCACAGAGCGCTCGAGCGCAGTCTTCTGAAGATGACCCGACGCAAGCAACATCTAGTCGGACTTCGCAGCACGGATATGAGAAGAATGTCCCGTCTTCGTGACCCAGTGGAATACGTTGCGAAAGCCAAACACCGATGGGCCGGTCACATAATGAGAAGAACAGACGACAGGACACTAAGAACATCCGAGTGGATTCCTCGCGAAGCCAAACGTCCTCGAGGAAGACCACCGACGAGATGGGCAGACGTGTTCGTGGAACGGATGGACCAGCTGAGAAATCAGCTGGATACGACTTTCGGCCCTGGAACTCGTGGACGCAGCCACCGACGACGGCCAAGAAGATCGTGGATGTCTGAAGCGAGGGACAGGGAAAAATGGCAACTTCTGTACTGGGGCCCGCACGTCACGTGAGGACGGGCCATCTAAGTATCTAAGTAAGTAAGTCTTACTGTACTTCGATCAGAATTAGATCCCATTTTTGAATAGATTCCGAAAACCAGACTAATTAATAAACGGGGTTTCGGATCAATATTATTCGCATGTTTTATGCAAATTCTATGCTTTCGGTACTTTTTACCGAGAGCATAATGGAGTTGCTTCTGCAAACATTGGAACTGGTAATGTGCAGTGATTAGCACGTAGGATTTCAATAGAGATGAGGGGTGGCGGAGGAGCAGCAGGGGAGTGAGAGGTCGAAGGGTGAGTGGGGAACATTATCTAATGACTTATGTAATGGCCGTTGGGGAATTGAAGGGGAAGAGAAGCACGAGACCCTGCAAAAAAAGCAACCATTTGCTTTTCACTAAACGGTACCCGGCCTGTCTGTGTGCCATGTGCCGGATCTTAGCAGTTCTCAACAGTGGCGACATTGAGGCGTATGTCGCGAGATTCTATACGCTGTGTGGTCAACAAAATTTTGGTAATTTTGATATGATCAAATCATGAATGGGTTGAGCTGCTAAATTCGTCTTTCCATGGAATATGCCCAGTCTCTTAAAACTTCCGCGCGTTATTAGTGACACTTTTGCCTTGTGATGCATGTGATTTTCTACAACTAACTTGAAGAGTCCCAATACCCAAACATTGTGAACAAGCTCGCGTAGCTTAGCACGGCGGCCACCATCATCGCGTAAAGAAATCCTGGTAGCCTCGAATACCTTAAAGAAAAACCAAACTTTCCTTGTTTGGACAAATATACATTCGAAATCGCTATAAAACTGAAACCTTGTGGGAAGGGCAACAGCAAACAGCCTATCAAGTCCTATAACAAGACCCACGGCGGCTTGAACGTTCAAGGCAAAAAGTCCATGAAAACTATGCAAGAAGCATTCCTTATTTGTGAGGAAGTACCAATTATGAAGCATCTGCACTCGTATTTGGATCTGAAAAGAGACTCGCTTGTCAATAATTATCTATCCAAGTAGAAATGAACGCACCAGGTATGCACAAATGATGAAGTCAGCTATGGCTAGTAAGCATATCAACAAGTTGCACCTACTTCTTAAAGTAGGCGATAGTATAGTAGCCAAGATTATTAGTCCATTTCCTATGCAGCCCACAAGAGAAAAAGCTATTGCAACGAGAAGTGCTGACCTTGGCACCAGTTCGAGTGTCATGTTACTTGACATCTACAAAGCAACAAAACAGTAGTCACTCGTGTAAAGAGAATTTCAACTAATAAATCGACTGAAAAGATGCTACGCATATTCTACGTGCAAATCAAACGAGATCTTCTTTGCAGCTTAGTTGGATCAATGTAGTGATTGAAGAAAACGATCTGTGTTGCAGAGGAATTAAGGAATACTTGTGTAATGGATGTTAGAAGAGAAAATACAGAGAGGTGCATGCGGTGATCCATGAACCACAAGTTAAAAAGTGTTTGGAAGCTACGTCTAAGCGTACGAGAACAGCTTGAAAAATTTGTTTTATAACTTACCAAGCATGAGCAAAACCGTGATTAGTTGTCTGAGGTATTACGTTCGATAGCTAGGGCAGATAAACGGTACTTTGTGGCTTATGAGACAAAATAGGAAACTCAAGTATCAGGTAAACGAAAGCTTTTGCTAGAAATCCGACATATTAAGACAGTCGTTAGGGGTAGGTTGCGACGCGCTCATTCGCCGGAAGTAGGCGGCCACCAGAAAATGCGCGCTGTTGATTTGTTGCACACCCCTACAAAATGTTAGAGAATTAACCACAATTTTTTGCAACGCTTGTTGTTTCCTCTCTCGCTCTTATTTCCTGGCGGATACGTCGTCGCTTATTTGTCAAAACAAGACATCAACGAGCGGCCTCACGAAAGCTCGTGATCAACTTCCTTAAATTCTGAGAGCGGAGTGCAAGCATCAATCTGTCTTTTCGGTGTACGCGTACCTCTGGCGATTGTCTGAGCGTTGGTAGACGAACGATAGCGGAAAAACAGATCTCTAGCGGTTTGCTTGCTGATATATCAGGAATGAATAAAGATTGTTGGTCCCACCGTCGCTCGAAACGCAATTGACGTTCCTTTGACAACTTTCAATAGCAAGTCGCAGCGCAATTGTCGCATGCTTGCAGAATTACCGCGATCTTCTATCAAAACCGCTTAAACAATAACCCGAAACAGTACCTCAAACTCGAGAGTCATTGACGATACGTGAACCATCGAGTGCTAGCTTTGAACGCCGTAAACGCGAAACTACACAATAGTAATGTAACAGAGTTCATAAAAAATTCGCTTCTCTATACCAAAATTGAATCGCAACTTCGTTACCTGCAACAATAGCTCTTCATTTAAATACTCAGTTCTTCTCTTACTTTTCACAGTAACTTCAACTTTTTATAGACATATTTTGGCTTGGCAATAATTTCAGCTTCAACAGTAGACAATGTAGAATGGGTAGATTGTTGCGCACTTTACAACAGCTTTGATTACGCTTTTGTGAAGTTGAGAAAATGTTGGCTTCAAGCTATTAGAGTTTTAACATATTTCAAGATAAGAAACTAGACCCATCAAGCTGAGAATGAGGATCATATAGAATAATGTTATGCAAAAAGTTGCGTCAGCTCTTGAACAACTGCCAAATGTCCAGAACAAACTTATGCTAAAGTCACTTAGTTGGGAAAACGGACATGTGTAAACAGAATTTTGACACTTTTTTAGTGATCTTTCTACATCCGATCATGGGGACTTTGCGAAAGACGAATGCTTGCCTTTAAAAGTCACTTTAACAAAATTATGAACGTTGAAAGATTGCATGCACCCAGAAAAGAAAAGCTTTTGAAAAAGTATCGCAGCCCTCGGCAGAGCAAATTGAAGCTTTACCGCCAAAGGTTGGTCGCGCCCAAAATTTGCTTGACCATCTAGAAAAAGCAAGTTTGCAATCCGCTGACTCTTGTAGCCGAGGGCTTTGCAAATTACAGTTTGATAAGTTCAATTATACACAGATTGCTTTCATGCGCTCACTCATAGAATGTGACTCGTTACAAATTATGTTTACGGTTGATTTATATCCTATCATAACTTATAATAACGGGCTAAGGGTGTTTACGTTTTTTTGTGTGTGTGTCTGTCTGTCCGTTACGAAATTCGTAGAGCGTGTTCCAGCCAACTTCCAGAGCCCAAATTTTGCGTGGCGCATGCTAGCTGCATGAAAGTCCGCTATGCTGAAGCACGAGCGGGTTCGTTGAGTGGATCCCCCAAAAATTGCACTTTAAACGGGTCCACTTGGCTTCTGGCCAACAGAAATGGGCCTGTACCACCACTTTTTGCGAGGTCATGGATATGATTAGCAAGCTAATGTGTAAGCCAAGGACTTTAGCCCAAAAATGGAACTAAAGTTCATCACTTCACGAAAATGGCGCCGAAAATAATAAGTTGCGTAAATGTTCAATTTGCCAAGATTTTACCTGATCATTTGAGATGATTTTTGCACAGAGATGTAGCCCACGGTGATCGTCGTCGTTATGGTGGATTATCAAACAACAAAAAGTCCAAAAACCGGCTCAAATTTGCATTTATTCTTTTCGGAAAAGTTTCATCCACCCAAAAATGCCGATCTCACATAAAAAAGTTCTTGGAATGAGTAGTTGTTTACAAATCATTCGTGATAGCCTGCATACCGCGGTGAGTTTCAACATCATTCTTAGCGGGAGTGAGTAAGGCATACAAAAAATAGGGCCAGTGCGAGCCTCTGCGAAGCAGAGGTGACGCACTGGTCGTATTATAAATTCTCTCGGCAACCCAACTTGCTCGCACGGTTGTCCTCCGCCTAATTCTTACAATTCTCTTGAGGAATGCTCGCGTACAGACTGTATAGATCAGAGGCAACAAGCTGATAGCGCGATGGTCGCCATCATTGTAAGGATACCTTCTTGTAACCATACGGTTTTGCTGGTCTTCCATTGTCTCGGATCTTCCCTTCCGTCAAGTGCGTGGAAGAAATTTGCCAAAGTCTTGAGGACTGACAAAAAATTCAAAAGAAGCCTGGCTTGATACTATCGGGACCAGGCGCCGCACTTCTTCCGGCGCCGCTTTTGGTGCCGCGTTCTTCATTGACATGATGGCATGACGCTCGAAAGCAAGAACAGAAGGGTTGACATAGACATTTCTATGATGCGATATGAAGGCAAGTGTGGCCGTCAAAGAGATCAGAGCAAAAATCGTATTAAACTTTTACCATTTACCTTCGTGAAGGTTAATCACCTGATGGTTTTGTTAGGGCGGCAAAGTAAGTCATCTATTTTTGACAATGACGAAGCATCGGCGGGCGCTGCGTATCTTCTTCGGCCATCACTGCTACTCTTCTTCCATGTGTTTTTTATTGCTTCTCGGCATCGCTTCGCAAGATCGACGTCAGTCGGTAGTTGCCTGTGGTTCGTGCTTGACCACGTTGACGCATCTGCTTTAGAGTCTTACAAAGAAAGGTTGATTAGTCGAAGTGGCCATTCAAGATGAGGTACATACCACTTTATGCCTTCTTTATCTGCTGCGGCTTTCTGAGCAAAGAGTTATGAGGGTTTTGAGAGCAAAAAATTGAACGGCAGCTAGGATAAGATTAGTCCTAACATTTTCGTAGGGTTTGGGGGGCAGCGATGATTGTCTGCGCGATGAATATTCTCATTTCAAATATACCCACTTATGCCTCATTCAAACGCTAGGAAAAGTCAATGAGTGATTTTACACTTACGCATTCGAATTTTCGCGCATAAAAACCTTCATAATTCCACCCACAAGCCCTCAGCAGATAAGGGTGCCTTCATACCGCGCCGGCAGCCGCCGCTAACAGCCCGTGGCGGTAGCTGGCAGCCCGTAGCAGCCCGTAGCAGCCGCTGGCAGTCCGTAGCAGCCCGTAGCAGCCGCTGGCAGCCCGTAGCAGCCTACAGCAGCCGTCAGTAGCCCGTAGCAGCCCACAGCAGCCGCCAGCTGCCCGTAGCCGCCGCTGGCCGCTTTTGTCATAGAAGTGCAAAATTATGAAAATCTTACTATTTTAAGCGCAAACGCGCAACGCTTTCCAACTTCCACGCTTCTTCATTCCTGTTGTCTCAAATCGATCTCATACAGGGTGTCCCGAAAAATTTGCCTACTGTTTGATTGTAGATAACTCTCTTGTAATGAAGTGTTTCGAGAAGCTTTAGGTAACATTTTGTAAAGCAAGGTTAAACTTAGATTTACAGTATGGAGCGAATCATCTATCGCTCTTCATTACTGTAGGATTACGGTACGAACTTCCAGCATATGGAACCATAGTGAAATATACTTCTAACAATATTCTTTTCGAAAAATCTGAAAAATTGTCCACCTAACAACTTTTTACGAGTGTTTTCAGCTTTATTGACGTGTGATTACATTTTTGACAAATGCTGGGAATTGGGTTATTACGATTTACAGGGGATAACTTAGTAAAGAAGCATCATAGTAAAATGGGAATTTCAAATTCGAAATCAGCTGCTCCCATTACCGTAGTATAAGAGTTTTTGGTTTGTTTGGTTTTGTTCCAAGGCAGAATATGGTCTCCAATTGCCTCAAATCTTTGTCGAAGTTCCTACCGTAATCCTACAGTAATGAAAAGCGATAGATGATTTTGCTCCATACTTTGAATCTAAGCTGAAGCCAGCCTTACAAAATGGTACCTGAAGCTTTTCAAAGACTTCAGTACAAGAGAGTTTTCAACAATCAAACAGTAGGCACATTTTTTGGGACACCCTGTATATCATACTTGTGTCCATTGTTGTTAAAAAAATCTTGTTGCCATAGATTGGTTAGCCTATTTGTGCTCAGTTTTCCTGTCGCAGTTAAACCATATTTCGCCAAAGTTCTTCGCGGTGTGATTTCTTCTGACTTTGGATGCGTTCAGTTACTGCAGGTATCTGTCAGTTTATTTTTTAAGTATGGTTCTGCTTCAATCCCTTGGCCGGTGCTTATCTCATAACTCTGTAATGTGAGTGTGGAACTGCACATTAGCGGCAATAGGAAGAAAGAAGTTGGAAGATGAAAAGCGTGGCGCACTCAAAGTAGTAAAAATTTGGTGATTTTGCGCTTCTATGACAAAAGCGGCCAGCGGCGGCTACGGGCTGCCAGCGGCGGCTGCCGGCGCAGTATGAAGGCACCCTAAGAAAAGTAGACTGAATCATCGATCCGTGCCTTTCA